TGATGAGCAGTAAATGGGTCATTTTGTTCTTGGCGACAATTTTCAAAATCATGCGAAGGCCGTATCGTATACTAGGATTTTACTGCAAAATCTTTTTTTTTAGTCCAAAGGGATTTCAGTCCCGAAGGACTATTGCTTTCGTTTTGGCATTTTGCGTCGGACTCATAAACGTCGGTTCACTTTTCAAACTGTTGCCACAAAATGTTAGAGCCCTGCATTATATTTGAAGAAATTAAATAATGAAAAATCTGCATAAATGATTGTCTATTTCTCGCATTGTGATAAAACAATGGTACATAGAGCCATCGAATTTTGAATGACGAAATCCTACTGCGAATATGGGCATCTGAAATCCCAAATTTGGAATTTGTTTTACTATAGATTTTATATTTTGTAAAACTTTAACGAATTTTCGATTTACAAACTCAATGCTTTAAAAGCGAGAAATGGCAACGTTATATAGAAAAAAAATACTTTTATCTCCAGCTCGCGAGACTGTGTATATCGGAAATTCTAAAGATATGCTTATTTAACATTATTTTACGATATTGCTCTTGAACTGAATTTTATAGTTTAAGTGCAAAGAACATGATATTTAATAAATAAAGGTAACACTCAAAACGTTAAAAAAACGCCCCTTTAAACGTAATTTAAAATCTGAAAAATTTCAGATTTTTTTATAAATTTAATTTAATTTTTTTTCTTTTTAATAAATACCTTGTCAGTTTGGCAGTAAAATAAAAAAATAGTAATCAATCATCTAGGATAACCATGTAATATAACTATATTCACTAAAATATCGTTGATTATTCTAATTAAATTTTTAAGTAATTATCTTTATTTTTATGTTATTCATATCATTTAATGTTGCTTCTTCCCTCTAAATTTATTTATCATTAGTAAATAATATTTCCAAATTTCAGGAAGTTTTCTCTGGCATAATCCTGAAATTAATTCTAGCAGTATGATGACATCACGAAATTTAATGCACATATTTTTTCCTTTTGTATGCTGCGAAATAAATATAAAATACCTCAATTTAGTAAAAAAATATCATTAAATAGATTTCTTTCTTTCTTTCGTTTAGCTGCAGAATGTCAGCAAAAGAAACCTTATTTTATTCCAGATTGGGCAGATTCTAATCTCAATCTTCAGTGGAGAAAACAACTCCTATTATAATTATATTTGTGTTTTCAAGTGTTAAGGTGCCTTTTAAAAATACACCTTACACAAATTAAATTTACCTAAATTTACCTTTTAGGATTGTGTTGTGATTTATAAGAACCGGATTAGCCTCGTGTTGAACTGGGGATGATCATGAGTAATAATTAAATAAAACGTACAGTTGGTTATCGGATTAGCCTCGTGTTGAACTGGGGATGATCATGAGTAATAATTAAATAAAACGTACAGTTGGTTATCCAATGTATATTTCTTAAATTTTATTAAGGTTTTAAGCGGAAAAGTAAACAAAATTATCAAAGTGTACCAAGAATAATTAAGAATAAATGTCCTCTGGGATTTATTGAATAATTAAGTGAATTTGCTACATAGTACAAGTAATACCATAATTAATTTACCTCTTAGCACAACCAACATTACGCGGATAGACTGGAATTTTCTCAAAACATACCTGGAAAACCTGGAAAAGTCAGGGAATTTCATTCTCCTGTTTGAGTGGCAAACCTGTACTAGGGACCCCAATTTCAGTAAACGCCCAAGGGTGATCCTAAATGTTAGTAATATGTAATTTTGTATATGTGTTATGCAAATTGTTGCTCAGATACTTTATTGTATATTGTTCTTTTTTCCTCCTGATTGCATTTTGTTTTTACTAGTGGCACTAAGGCGTTGCACTTTGTATTTTGTTTCTCTTGTGTGTACATGTATTCTTCTATGAAATAGTTGTTAAAAAAATAGTTAATTATGTATGGATTAGTAATTAGGTACTTAAGGAAACCGAATAGTACCGAAATTTTGAATAAAAAAACTCTATTTTTTTTCCAGGTATGCTTAGATACATCTACTTTAAGATGATGGAAAAGATTTTATACTTTATAATTACATTTTTTTTGAAAAATTTATAAAAATTATTTTAAAAATAAATCATAAAAAATCTGATGAGTGCACCATATCCTTGTACGGAATATTAAATTATACCCATTTTTTCTTGCATTTCATTTAAACTTATTATATTGAATTAAATCTACTTTTTCGATAGTGCATAAACCACAATAGAATAAAGGCACTCTTTAAAACTCACTATATTTGTTTACCACTGCGACACTCTGGCGCTAGGTTCACTTAACAGCGTTATATTTCGTTCATATTATAACTCAGAATGCACAAAATATATATCATTTGAAGAATTATTTAATCGCTGCCACATGTTCTATTCAAATACTATAATAAATCTAGAACGATGTATAAAAGAAATTAAGCAAACAAAACAAAAAAGAAACAGTTTTTCACAGACGATTCAGTATTTCTCATTCAATTAATTCAGTTCTCACTTCGTGACAAGGCAACATACATAAAAACTCAAAACATCTATATTAAAAATTATCTTAAACATTATTTATCATTATTTAAAACATTAAATCTTAAACACTTATTTCCTTTAAAAAATTCCAGAAAGGATTAAGCACGACTTAATTCGCAATAATAAATAAAGGCATTATCTTTGTTGTTGCGAAACTTAGTCTCTTTAGATTGGCAACAAATCAACTATTCTGCTGTTTCAAATGTAAACAAACGTGTCCACCATGTTATTTAAAAATTAGGCTTAACTGCACTTAAACAGCTTTTTAATTGTTGATAATTCTACAAATATTGCTTGCAGATTTTGTAAAGGCATAAAAACCTTAACCGGAAGATAAGAACAACATAATTCAATAATTTTTAAAGCAAAAAATGCGTAATTTACAAACATATAAGAACAAAGAAACTGAGATCACTGAGCTAAGTAACAGACTAGATATACAATCAAAAGTCATTAATCCAGACTCGTCGGGACTTCGGCGATTCCGGATTATAGATCATCAGTTTAAATCTGGTAAGATGGCATGCAGAAATTATAAAGTTAAAAAAAATGAAACCATAATTTATGAAATAAAGAACAATTATGATCTAAAGGGTATCAAAATTTACAAAAGAAAAAAAGCTTAATATTTATTTGTTTACTTTATTAAACATTTCTTTCAATGTAAGTTGTTTAAGTTGCTTCATTTTTTATGTGATAATACATTCTCTTTAATTCTATAAACAGACATAATTTCTTGTTCAGTTACAAAGTTCCGCTGTTCAATTCCTATAATTGCTGTGTCGAGAATACCGACTAATTTGTCAATCGAAATTTTTTCGTTTTCAATAACCTCTCTGTCACTTTCTTCTATCGGAAGTGAATTATTATGACGAGGAATTTGATTTAAATCATATCAAAGACGGAGTACATCGAGATGAAATACTACATTTAGTAAGGAATAATAAGCCGAATAAAATAAAAACATCTGCCCTGAAGATAAGGAAAGTGTTGACAGATCAACTTCCAATTCATTGCGTGCTGCGGTGTCCCCCCCCCCCCCCGGCCTGCCGCAGAGCAGCGTGAAATTGATAAACATATTTCGGAATGGTTAGAGAAACAAAGGATATGCCTTTATCCATTTTTTGCAGCAATTTCACTTTTTGTTTAATGGACTTCGCTTTGTAGATCCTTTACATATTAGTAAATATATATTGGAAATTCTATTTGACATAATCGAAAGTTCAAGCTTACTTTTATAAAATTGCTCTAACAGTCTGCAAAAAATAATAAACTGGATCCAATTCGTAGATTAAGGAACAAAGCAATCTGCAACATTAACTGAATTGGATAATTTTAGCTTAGCTTATACCGTCTGTTATACATTAAACGCGCATGCGTAAACGTATTATGCACATGCATACACGCATATTCGCAGCCGTAAAGGTCCATAAATGCCTATGTGCATGCGTCAACACGATGCATGCGCAGAAAGTTTGTAACTTTGAGGTCCGGATTATGGGGGTCCGAATTAACGACTTTTGACTGTATATAGAGACTTTTGGTGCGGCCGATTGAAACCAAAATACGAGGTGCACATCTACATGTTATAGCAGTCCTAAATACAAAATTTCAACTCTGAGGCTACTTGTTTTTGAGTTATGTGAGGTACGTACTTATGTATGCACGCACAGAGACACCACGAAAAATTCTCTTTAGAATTCATTTTAAATTAGTTTTACAATTTTTTGGGGAGAAAAGAGTCCTTTATCCTGTCTTTACGTACAGATGTTACGCAAAAACATTGTTAAATTACATTCGATAGCAGTGAAAATGGATATTTGTGTTGAAATATGCTGCCTGAAACTTTTCATGATTACAATACTTCCATTTTACTTTGTACAAGGAAGGAAAAATGGGGAAATTTTATTTGGAATTAACCTAGATTTCAAAATGTGAAAGGAAAAATCAAATAAGGTTAATAAAAAAAGAAATATTAATAAATATACACCAAATTGAATGAACACGGAGGAGCTAAAATTTTGTGAGCTAATTTTTTAAAAACTACTCATGTGATTTTTATAAAACTTGGCACTCTGGCTTAATTTGAGTTGTAGAATCAAAATATGGAATAAAATCAGTATTTCATATCAGAAAAAGTCTGATTCTGTGTCAAAATACCTATGTAAGCACAATTCTATATATATATAAATCTAATATATATCTAATATATATCCTAAGTTGCACTTTCAAGACATGGAAAACACAAGTTAAATTTCGACGATTGGTCTAGTAGAACAGGAGATATAGAACTGTCCCCTTTTTTTGTGCAAGGTGTACATACCTATATGCATGCATGCACACATATACACATGCATGAATACACACATTTCTGAAACCACTCCCAATAATTGAAAAGTACCAAAAATAAACAGCTAATAAAATATCACAAAAAGGAAAATTTTATAACATCACTTACTTTAATACAGTTTTTGCAATCTTTTTGGTTTTGCCAGCTTCTACTATTTCAAAATAATTATTCAAGTAAAAGCCTAAAAGACACAAAATATTTATCTTTAGCACGCTAAACACTTTAACCTGTTCTATAAAATAATTTGAACTTATTAATTTTTGGCTGCTGTTTTATGGCATATCAGCATTGACAGTTTTCATTTTATAAGCAATGGAATATAGAATATAGTTTTACAAAAGCATGTTATTGCCCTCCAAAAATAGCCAGTACATAAACTTTTAACAACATATGAAATTTGTGCATTATAAGATTAGGCAATTAAATTTGCCAATTTAGGCTTCTAAGTATGTCGCCACTTTAACATGGAAGTGCCAAAATGCCTTATCATTCATTAAAATAAAAATAAACTACTAATCATTTACCGTTATAAGCAGTTTAATCCACAGAGGAGAAATTTAAAAGAAATCAACAAACATAAGCATTTGCTTTATTATTATGCAAACACTTTTTTTCAGAGCAAGCAAAACATTTAATTTTAAAAGATAGCATTCATTTAATGTTAATAATTTCCCTTCCATTCATGAGCCAAAATCTGACAACTGAAAAATCAAATATGTTTTCACAGACATATATGCATGGCAATGAAGATTTTTAATTTACAAGCATATAAGCAACTTATTTAATGCTTTGAAACATTAAAGAATCCACACAAACCTCTCGCATGTAGTTATTCCAATCCACAACTGTACCGTGACTGATTTCCAACTGCTTTTCACACCATTTAACTGAAGTAAATTCTTCACTCCAACCATAAATGAATCTTAAACACTTCAAGCAACTCAATCTCTATGATTCAAACCATGTGCCTTTCCGTATATTTCTTTTACTGCGGCAAGTTGAAAGGTTGCAACGCCATTGAATTTCGTCTCCGAAATATAATTTCATTTCATGATTATTTTCACAAATAGCAATGTTAGGCAAAACGCCTTTCGCTTGAAAGAATCTGACGGATTCTTCCTCTTGTCCTGGGCAAATCCCAAATTTTCATTGGTTTTTCATCTATTTTGACATATTTGTAAAAGACGTTAATTTAAGAATTTAAGACGTTAAATTTAAAGATTTACTATGCTTTCATGGTATAACCTCTTGATTCGCAGGTTAATATCACGTAATCCCAAACGATCTCATCTCACGTAAAATACGCTATAAAAATCCGATTCTCTCAGGAATTATCTACATTAATTTCAAGTTAAATCTCAGTATGGAATACGAGTTTAAATGCAAGAATTATTTCAATATTATAATTAAAAAAATTGTATGTAACTGTATGCCAATATTGAAAAAAAAAGGTAAATCTGATAATAAATCTCAGCGACTTTTTTTGAAAAAGTGCCGTGAAAGGTTATCAGCGAAGATATTCCCATTTGGCATCAGTTCTACCATTTTCAGCGACTTTATCGCTTGCGCCGGCGAAATGGGAAATTGCGCCGGCCAAACGGAAAAGTACCCATTTAATTTTAAAAGATAGCATTCATTTAATGTTAATAATTTCCCTTCCATTCATGAGCCAAAATCTGACAACTGAAAAATCAAATACGTTTTCACAGACATATATGCATGGCAATGAAGATTTTTAATTTACAAGCATATAAGCAATTTATTTAATGCTTTGAAACAGTTATCATACACATCTAAACATAAAATAAGTCCATCAAAAGTTGGCAAGTTGTTTTAGTAAATGCTATCAAATAAGCACACTTTTTTCGATAATAAAAGAATAACGTTAACATGCAATTTTATTATTAAAACAGTACAAAAGTAAAGCAAATAACAGTCAGATTTTTTCTATCATTGAATGATATTTTATAAAATTATTTGAAAGAACGAAAAAAATTCCAGTTGCTCTTAATCTCTAGCGTGTAACAAAATCTTTAACTGATGAAAATATTAGGATTACAAAATAAATTATAAAAAAAAAAAATCTTTACACAAACATGACTTGCATTTAAAAGCGTAAACAATAAAATTTCGTAATTCCTATTTCCAATGTAACATATCCGAATTTTGCTGTTTTAGTGATGTTTACAACTAAATGCTTGAATCGACAACCGGGAATTTAACAAAGGCAAAAAAGAATAGTCATTTAAAAAACAGATCAGGAATCTCTGAGGAAATACATACTCTTTTTTGAACCAAATTATACATCTACGGGTGCTTAACCACCAGGGTGCCTGGGCGCCATAGCCCTACCCCTCATCGAATAACATGATAAAAGTTTCGAATTATGAGAAATATAACTGAATGTGCTAAATAATTAAATGAGCAAGAGTTTAAATTCATAATTGCTAATAGTTAAATACAATTTTTTTTCCTTAAGTACCTAATTACTAATCCATACATAATTAACTATTTTTTTTAACAACTATTTCACAGAAGAATACATGTACACACAAGAGAAACAAAATACGAAGTGCGACGCCTTAGTGCCACTAGTAAAAAAAAAAGCAATCAGGAGGAAAAAAGAACAATATACAATAAAGAATCTGAGCAACAATTTGCATAACACATATACAAAATTACACATTACTAACATTTAGGATCGCCCTTGGGCGTTTACTGAAATTGGGGTCCCTAGTATCATAACAATAGTTAACAACCACAGGATTGTCCAGAAGTTCCTGTTTATCATAAAATGCCCTAGATAGGCGGCAATAAAAATCACAAAGATCCTCTATTCTTAACTCTTTACGAATTTGGCTATTCCGAATGTACCAGGGGGCATTACATATCATACGCAATACCCCGTTTTGGGCAGCTTGTAACTGCCTTCTCAAACTTTTGCACGAGTATGCCCAGACGGGGCATGCATAACTAAGAATTGGACGCAACATGGTTTTGTAAATGAGCAACTTATTATCAATAGATAGAACACTGTTTCGAGCAATTAAGGGGAAGAGTGAAGCTTTACTAGCTCGAAACTTCCTGAGAATATGTGTAACGTGTGGGTTCCATGTAAGAGATTTACTGAGGATCACCCCAAGATAAGGGACCTGCTTGACCCAGGGAATGTCCACACCATACATTTGCAGGTGAGTCGGGAAATTCTTCTTAGTAGTAAACAGTATGGCATGTGTCTTGTCGACATTCACTTTGACTTTCCATTTGGTCAGCCAAGTCTCTAGCGAGTGGATGTGGTGTTGTAGCTGTTGTATTGCTGAACTAACAAATGCACTTTGCGTAAGGATCGCTGTGTCGTCTGCATACATGGCTAGTGTTGTGTTGTGTGTAGTGGGGATGTCGTTCACGTAAATATTGAATAGGGTAGGGCCCAGAAGGGATCCCTGTGGAACACCAGCCCGTATAGGCCGGTTTGTGGATAATGAACCAGAAACATGAACGACAAAGTGTCTACCGGTTAGGTAGGATTTAATTATGTTTGTGATGTAGCCTGGGAGTCCCAGGTTGTGTAATTTGTATATGAGGGCATCCAGCCATACTCTATCGAAGGCTTTGGCGACATCTAAGAAAAGTCCACCAGTGACACGATGTTGTTGCATCCCACTGCTTATTAACTCAACAACTCTGTAGAGTTGATGCGTTGTCGAGTGCTTACGCCTGAACCCAAACTGATAGGGTATGAGGATCTTCTGCTCATCCAGGAAGATGTTTAGTCTATGTAGAATAACTGCTTCCACGATTTTGCTAATTGAGCTTAGCAAACTGATTGGTCGGTAACTCTCAGGAGCAGTCGCAGGCTTGTTGGGCTTTAGCAGAGGGACAATCTTGGCAGTTTTCCAACAAGTTGGGAAGTATTGCCATCGTAGTATGATATTCACTAACTTGGTGAAGTAGAGTATTATCTTGACAGGGAAGTGCTTGATCATCTCATTTGTGACCCCGTCTACTCCAGGGCTCTTCCTTTTCGCAATTCGCATGATATAGAGACAGACCTCCGATGGCATGGCTGAGATAATGTTGTCTGTGCATGGCTGTGTTGTAAAATTGGAGTGGAAGTCAGCAATAAGCTGTTCAGTGTCTGAGTCTGAAATGTTGTTAATGCAGAACTGAGATTCCAGATGCTGAGCTAAAAGTTCTGCTTTCTCAGTTCCGGTGTAATGGATCCGTTGAGGGCCGTGAAGGGGCGGAATGGCGTTATAGCATTTTTTGTACCTCTTCACTGCTTTCCATAAGGAGTTATCCTCTGCAGAAAGAGATCTGAGGTAGTTAGTCCAGCGATCTTGTGAGAGTTTATTTGTAAGAAACTTGACCGCTTCGCACAGGCGATTGAAGTTCCTTTTATCATCACGGTGTCTGGTACGTTGATACGCTCGTCTTGCAGCATTTCTCTCTTTAATCAATAATCTGAGCTCTTGAGGCTTGTGTTTCATACCAGGTTTAACTTCAACTTGTGCTTTCGCATAAGCATTTTGTATATTTTCAGTGAGGTCCTTGACCAAACTATCAATGTCACTCCCCTTGTGTATCGTGGGTAAAGTGTACTGGGTGTTGGAGAGGGCTTTGGCAAAGACCTGCCAGTCTGTACGAAAGGCCCTGGTGTCTGATGTAGTATATCTGCTGAGGTCCAGAATAATCCTAACAGGATTGTGATCACTTGAAAGTTCGTCCAGTACGGAAATATCCAGTGGAGAACTGGTGTTCCGCAACAGGAAAAAATCAATAATTGCGGTGGACCCAGCAGCATACCGTGTTGGGGTACTTGGAACTGCCAATTTAAACCGTGCCGACGCGGCCAAGGAATAAATCAGTCTGCCTGTTGCATTAGAAGTGTAGCAGTTCCATGCGCGGTGTCTTGCGTTCAAGTCTCCACCAATAATAACATGTGTACCAAGTGTGAGTAGAATTTCAAGGTCTGCCTGAACGACAGCCACAGGTCTCATGGGAGGAATGTAGGTGGAGACAAAAGTGTATGGAGTGTTAGTGTCTGTTGTGATGCAGATAGCTGTGGCCTCTACGGCTGAGAGCTGTGGAATGTTCACGTGATAATGGGGAATGCAGCGTTTGACAAGAAGTGCAGTGCCACCTCCACGTGGGCGAGGAGCGGTAGTACTTCTGTGCGACTTGTAGGTATAGTAATTTGCCACACACAATGGTATTTTAGGGTCAAGCTTGTGTTCTTGTAGGAAAAATAAGTCGGGACTGTGCTCACTTGCAAAATCCCGCAATTCATTAATCTTACGGAACAAACCATTTGCGTTCCAAGTAATAATACTTAAGTACCTATTGTTTACACTATACATAATTATTCAACATTGGAAAAAACACTGTCAAAAACATTAAATAATATAAACAACTTATCGATTGAATGCTCCGCAGCCCGCAATTCAGGCATGGCTGCCGAGATTTTTTGAAAAACATTCATAACTGTGGTGCCTTTAAAAACATCACACACCTCTTTGATTATTTTGAGAAAGTCCATAAACATACCCGAACCAACAGTAGCACTAGCAGCACCACCACTGCTGACAGTCTGTTTATGCATATCAACATTAAAATTATTAACAGTATTTACAGATCTTTGAACGTCACCCTTGGCTACACTAGCATAACTGCGCCCGGAGGCAACAGCAGAATAACTCAAATTTGCATTAGAAGTACTAGGCATTTTAACACCATTATTTACATTTTCTGAGTTTGCACTCTTATTCACAGTTTTATTTCCGACTATGCGTCGGGGGAATTTCGGACATCCGCGATAATTGGCGGTGTGTCCTTCTTGCAGGCAATTACAACAAATAGGAGAGTCTAATTTTTTAACATTACATTTATCAGTACGATGTGCACCCGCACATTTCACACATCTTGGTTGTAGTTTGCAATTTTCACTACTGTGTGGTGGAAGTGTTGGCAGTTGTGACACTGCACAACATTTCCACGCACTTTATAAGGATGTATTTCAACAAAGAAACATAGCAGTTTTTTAACATCATAAATAGATTGCACCCCTGGTACATTCTCTAAATGAACCTGAAACAAAGGCATAGGAGCCTTAGA